AAGACGAGGGAGCACCCGGATCAAATATTAGAAGAAATTCGCCTTAGTGAAGGACTTTTTTGATGAAACTAACCCACTTTTGCGCTGCATGGAGAGGAAAATCCAGTAAACCACCCACTTTTATCCTGACGGCAAGGAGACTCTAATCCATGATCCGTCGACCCTAGAGGATATTTTAAGTCAGCACTGTGGTCGGTGCAAGCTGTGTGCGCAATTCATTTCGACTAGCCATTGCTCTGATTCAAACCACATTGGAAGGTGAGCGCTCTATTCCCTGAGCCACCACAGCTCTCTGAGCCACTACGCACATCCGTTAACTATTTTAATTTAATTAACTCTTTCATAATTTTTTTCTTGTCAATAGCGCGCACTTCATCGATGCTGGCTGAGACGCAGTTGCTGATAGTCCACGTATAATATGGATTGCCGCCAGCTCAACAAGGGCAAATCTTAAAACACCTTACTTAAATAGGGAATTGGACGTAAAGAGCGGAGGCTTGGCGATAAAATTAGCAGCGTATATCTTTTGTCTAACGCCCCTGACAGTTTATCGACTTTTCTGTTTCCGCCTTCACAACAGGTGTTTAAACCGATTATTTTTTACACGTAATCGCTGATTTATCAGTGAATCGAAAGTTTCATAGGGGAGTGTGCGGGATGCATTTCATGAAATTCTTTAAGTAACTCACTTTATCTAATTGAATTACCCGTTAGAAATCACTTTTATTTAATGACCACCAGGTGTTATATGGTTATTGTGCTAATCGTGGGTTTGTCTCGTTAACTCGTTTGCCGTTGTTCCATTGGCATAAAACTTATAATACGCCTGCAGATTAACCCCTACCTTTTCGCTCCCGTGAAAACGACGGGGTTAGATTTCGCCCTCTTTTTTTCGCTCTCGAGATATTTCTGGGCTGGAGTGTTCAGTAGTGACAAGCAATAAGAATAAGACTAATTCATTTCTTTTTCCCCAAAAAACATTTTGTTTCGCTTTTTACTCACCAGATGGCAGTACCAAAATATTTTTAAGGTAATTATAGATAGTTAGTTTATTTTAAACTAAGTGCCTATTTTCAAAAAAATAGGTACTTTTATGACCGTTTTCCTGAAAATTAACCGATTGTTAAGGGGTTAAAGGAACCAAAATTTCACATATTTTATATTTTACTTTTACGCATACTAAGTTCGAACAGGAATGATGCCTCCTCTAACCATCAAAATATACACCTTAAAGTGAGTTATCCGAATTGCATAGATGGTACTGACCCGAGGCAAGCTGTAGTAGAGAGTTTTTATCCTTTTCTCTGATTTCATTGGGGATGAAAACATGGGCATTAAAGTAACAGAATATCAACCAAAGGGAGGAAGAACAGCGGGATATCAAGAGAAATATTCATTCCTAGCAAAAGTGGTTGTCACAATCAAAAAAGGAGAACGGAAAATGATGATACACTATCTGACAAAAGTATCCGGACATCCGGTTTTTAAGGTGGTGGAAGCATAATGGTGTGGGGGTGTTTCTTGTGGTTCGGTCTAAGTCCGTTAGTTCCTGTGGTTGGAAAAACGAACTGCACTCCCAACTCTATGGCAACATTTCAGCCTATTTCTTTTGCAGCAGGATAGCTTCTACGTTCACACATCGAGGCTTGCACAGACGGGATTTGACGAAATGGCTGTTCAAAAACTAGACTGGCTTTCTCCTAGCCCTGATCTAAATCCTATAGAACATTTTGGGAAGAATTAGAGCTCAGATTACGTAGCTAGCCAAAACGATCCTCCTCACTGCAAGTACAGCTGTGATGGAAGTCTGGAAGTTAATTCCTATGGTCACCAATCAAAAACTGGTGGAAAGTGTACCCAGACGTGTGCAGGCTGTCATCGATGCTAAAGGGGACCAACATCAAATGAATATGCGCCTCAAATCAAATGAATATGAATATGTGCCTCAATCTAATATGCTGTCCATATTTAGTGCTACTGTAATAGGAGTGTTACATACTGGGTGCCTAACACATATTTTGCTCCTTTACTCCCCAAGTCAAAGTTCTTGATGACCCCATCAAAAAAATCTTGATGGTTTATGTTGGTTTCAGCACGATTCATAATGGTCCAACAACATTTGATGGTCAGCATTCTCCAACATTTACCATTATGCGTTCAAGGCTTTTGATATGCCAATCTTGATGGTTTATGTTGGTTTCAGCGCTATTCATAACGGTCCAACAACATTTGATGGTCATCATTCTCCAACATTTACCATTATGCGTTCATGGTTTTTGATATGCCAATCTTGATGGTTTATGTTGGTTTCAGCGCGATTCATAATGGTCCAACAACATTTGATGGTCATCATTCTCCAACATATACCATTATGCGTTCATGGTTTTTGATATGCCAATCTTGATGGTTTATGTTGGTTTCAGCGCGATTCATAACGGTCCAACAACATTTGATGGTCATCATTCTCCAACATTTACCATTATGCGTTCATGGTTTTTGATATGCCAAACAACTTCCATCATTCCGTGATGAAAATTTCTACTTAAATACAATAGGATGCTTAATCATCAAGAGAATTTTGATTCTCATAACCAACAATTCATGGTGATCCGTGATGGTCCATGATGGTTCCAACTATACATTTCCATGATGGTTTAATGGGAAATCTTGTTGGTTCTCAGGAATAAACCATCAAAACAATTTGCTTGCTTTTTCTTGTTGACCCATCGTAAAACTGTCCAAATTCCTACACTGGGGTGATGGTGGCTCATGACCGTTTCAACATTTGATTTTTAAGAAACTATGATGGAAAGTTCTGATGGTTCAACGGGAAGGAATCATCAAAACAAGCTGGACCATCATAAATCAGTTCGAATACCGGCATTGGGGTGATGGCTACCATCAAGAATATCTTGGTCTATTAACAGAAAACCATCTAAAAATTTGACTTGGGCCCAGTGTTTATTGTAAAATTGAATTCCACCCTGTGTTAAAATCTGTGTCATTCACTTCCGTGCAACCAATATTATTTTCAAAATGTTGATGTTATTTTTTCATAGGTGGAGCAACATCTCTTACCCCAACCTTATGATACAAATTGCACATTGTTTAATCCTATAGGAAGTACTGAAGAAAACGTTGACATAATGGTATGGCCCACCTTTATTGTATTGTATAGTAATGATTTATTGTATTGTAGTACTGAAGTGTGTACCCTGTTTTATGTATAGTAGTATTTTATGTATGCTATGTTTTATTGTATATCGATATCTCCCATGAAAAACTACAGAGTAGAGAAATTATTAATTTCAAGTTACTGAAAAATTAACCCTTTCTTACTCTGTTTTCTCGATCGCAGAGCTCAAATACGCCATCTGGGCTTGATACTCCTCCTTTTTCTCTTCTCCTCTTCTCAATTGTATAAGAATGTACTACAATATTCGCACTAAAATCAACATAAGCCATCTAAATGTTTCGATGGGACCATCGAGAATTTCGACTTGGGTACAACGACTACTAGCATGCTATCATATAGCATTCCCGTCTTCAGAGGTCCTTTTTAATCACGAGATGACGCCTTTTGAGATTATTGCTGCCACGGTGGTGACATTTTGACCAGCTTCCAGTAGTCTGACATCTCGTCCACGATCGTAAAAATTCAAATGATATCTTGTTAAAAATTTGTACTTAAGTATAGCAACACCACTCTGAATTTTACAGAAATAAATTCAGCAACCTATAGTACTATTTTGTTCAAATTCCTGACATGAATTTTCGAATTAAAGAAGAGGTTATGTGCTCTGCCTTTTATACAGATCTACGCTTGGTTTTTCTTTAATTGGTAGGCCGTCACTTTGCATAAATCAATTATTCCTTAGAAATTGACAAGCAGTGTACACCCCCCCCCTTACTTCCGGAAAATCTTGAATTGAACAATATAGGCGATTGCAATGCTCAAATACGCCATCTGGGTAGAAAACCGGTTCCATGCCTTTGGCCCTTCTCCCTTCCTCTCCTCCTCTTTTCAGTTGTATAGGAAAGTACTATGATATTTTTCCTTCTCTTAATATTTTTCGTATTTAATTTATAAAAAATATTTTTTAAATTTTCCTTATTTTAGAACTACGTTTAATGTAGTTTTCAGTTCCATATAGTTTCTCAACTTGAAAGATTTTAATCTAGTTGAAAATCAAGACAGAAACTAACATACTTTCTTCTTCTATGACTCTCCACAATCTAATGGTGAGAGTATGGGAAGTTTAGCTATAGGTAGAGAGTTCTATTTACTCTACGCCACCTGTAGCCCATTTCAATCGCCAATTGTTAGTTGAAATTCAAATATTCTCCATTTTGGATATTTTTTCCCTTTTTGAATAGTTATGTTGCTTTCGTGACGTAATTGCTTAAACAGTTTGTGTAAAAATTATGATTGAATTGAGAATGCCAGCGTAAAATGAACTGTTTTGTTTCAAATGTTATTAGCTTACATTTCAAATTATAAGGAAATTTTGAACGCTCCAAGTTGTGAGCTCCTTATCGCGTAACTAGCCCAATCTAAAACATGAACTTAATTTGTATTTTATTTGCATTTTTTTAGGAATGCATAGAAACTTGCACCTTCCGTCTTCACATGGAACAATATGGATGTGCACTGCGTTCAATAAGTATTAGTCATATGGCAAATGGAGCAATATTGTTTGTTAAGATTCAGATATTTTCCGCTGTAGAAGGTAGTTTCCCCTTGCTGAATAGTTCTGTTGCTTTCATGGCATATTGATGTAAAAATTATGATTGAATTATGAATTCCAGCGTTAAAACAGGGAACTGTGAGGAAGTTTAGAGTTGCTCCAAGTAGCCCCCTTTCACGAAACTCGCACAATATAAGATATGAACTTTATTTATATTTTATTTGCATTTTTTAGGAATGCATAGAAACTTGCACCTTCCGTCTTCACATGGAACAATATGGATGTGCACCTCGTTCAATAAGTATTAGTCACATGGCGACATTGTGTAAGAGAGGTAAGTGTGATTACTTAACATTTGAAACGTATTGTTGATACAGTATTCATATTTTGAAAACTGTGAAGTTAATAAAATTTGAATTAAAAAAACATTGGACAAATAGAGAAATGAGTTATTGCTCACACACTTTCTCTAAAACAATTTTATTGATATTTTGGAGAAATTTCGTTAGATATTCTACTCTTCTGAAAAATTTCCACAATTTTCTTTAGAAGCGGTTTGAAAAGTTTTTGAACGGTATCAATTCTCCAAGCATTTTTTTGAAGATTAGTCATAAGGTTATTTACGTATTGATGTTATAGTTATTTACATATTACTGTTAAAGGATCATTATTTATTTATATCTCTACATTAGAAAAAAAAATTATCATGAAATCTAAAACTTGTGACCTTAAAAACATTTGTGATCTTACTGCTTGCTTTATTTTTACCATTTTGCTAGCAAAATCGTCAGAATTATCTGATGCAAATATAATCAGACATAAAATTACGCGATTATCTTAAATCAATAAGAAAAATCGAGATTATCCAAATCGAAATTAATTCAGAAGCGTAGTTGAAAAATAGAAGAAAAAAAATTGCAAAATTTTTTTTTTAATTCCACCATCACACTAATCATTTACAAACGATCTTCTAATCACTTTTTAATCGTTTTTACCATGGAAGTGGGAAAACTCTGCATCGCATTTCGTTCTGGTTGAGTTCGATGAAGAATGTTTGAAACTACTTTTGCGCCAAAATCCTCGTCTAACAACAAGGGAACTGATAGAGAAAATAAAATTCTCCAAACCTTTAAAACTTAAAAATAAATTAAAAAATGACCAAAATGTTGCACCCAACTCAGCATCTCAACACTCCCTTTTAAATAATATTAGATTTTAATAATTTTAAAGCTTTATTTTATAACCGTCGTTAAACAGCCGACCCAATATTTAGGGGCTTAAGACTAGTAATGCTCAACTCCATAGCCTCGCAAATTTGAACCCAATCCAGAAGACAAGGAAACTCTTGGATTAAGTATTGGGAGAAATTTGCCTTCGTGGAGAGCGCTTTTGATGGAACTAACCCGCATTTGCGTTACTTGGATTGAAAAATAACACGAATCATGGTTAGCCAGACCGCAAGTGGAATCAAACCCATGATCCGTCTACCACTGAGGATATCTTACGTCAGCACTGAGGTCGGCACAAAGTGGATGTGGAATTCGCATTGACCAGCCATCGCTGGGATTCGAACCCCTGGAACCTCATTGGAAGGCGAACCCTCTATTCCCTGAGCCGTCACGGTTCCGATTTTAAAGTTTAGTTATTTCTTCTCAGTGTACAGTGGGCCAGCATCCAAGGTTTCATGGCCGAAATTAGTATTTCGATAAAATTTGCTTCAAAATTTGGGTTTATTTAGGGTTTTCATGTGCAGGTAAATTGAATTCATAGTTGAAATTTTGAAATACACTAAAAATACCCAGAAAAAAAATGGCGGCTAAAATAAAAAAAATAATATTGTACGTTTAAATAATTAAATGTAGCAATGAAAATATAATAATTTTCGTAATTTTATATTAAAAATGAAAAGCAAATTATATTTCCGAAGTAATGTTACAAAATAACGCGAAAACATAAAAAAAAACATAGTTTTTGTTTTAAGGTATATTTAGTCTACCTTTGCATTATGGGCAAAATGGGGCAGGTTTTTACGAAAGAAGAAACATCAAAGAAGACAGCAAAAAAAGGTTTAGCTAATTACCTCGTGGAACTTTTTGGAGATAAGTTTCGAAAGTGATTTAAACATTGTAAAATGTCAATTGATAAGATATAAACTATAAGTTTGCCAAGAGTATTAACTAATCCAACAAATTGAAAAATTGCACTATAATTTCTGACTAATTATTCTGATAAAAATGCAACATTAAGGTGAAATTCCTATATATATTTCTGAAATATAAATTTAAAAGTTATACTTAAAAAAATAATTTTTAACATATTTTTCACTACATTGTACTCTCGTCGGTCCAAAAAGTAAATTATAATGTTTGGAATAATTATGAGTACTTAATTAGGGCGATATTAAGCCTGCCTACGCATTTTTCAGTTGAAATTTAATTTTTTACTTTTGGCCAAAGATCATGGTCCTCTGGCCCACTGTGCAGTGGAGGGAAAATTTGTTCACTTAACTTTTTGAATAATTCTTTCAGTAATTCTTTAGAATCCGAGTGAGCCGGGTTTAAGAACCAAAATTTTCATTAGGTTGCATCAAAAACTTTTATTGTATTTTTCAGGTGAAAAAATCACAAAAGAAAATTGGGATAGTTGTTTGAAAAAGTGTAGCAATACTCCATGTGTGTAAGTAATTTTTCATGAAGAAGTTTTTCCTCATGTAAGAAAAATGCATTCATTTAATATATATTTTTTTAATCTCAAAACCATTATATAAATATTGAATTATTTTTTTTTAAAAGTTGATGGGACATTCGAACCTGGTCAATGCGGTCACTTTCTTGCAATACCAAATCTAACCGGAGTTAGTCAAATTTTGTTTAAAATAACCGGTTTACGGTTTACAGGATGCGTCATTTTGACGCATTTCGAGTTTTGTAAAGAAAATTATAAAACCCGTTTGAATTTTTATTTTATCTCTTGTAATGACTTATAACCATTGATCGAGGTAAATATATATTGAAGTCTATTTTCTTCAGAAGCGTTGAAATATTGAAATTCTCTTTGTGGTATACCTATCTCTACGGATCTGCGTCTATTTGACGAAATCGTAATTTAGACAAAATTTTGAGTAAACATGCAATTGTCACATCAATAATAAATAGTGCCGACAATAATTCGATCCGTTATCGGATATCGTTATCTCATATGAAACAAGCGATAAACAACTGCTGCTGATTAGCAATAATAGAAAGAACAAACGCAAAACGTCAATAGATGTCAGATTTTCAAGGTTTCAGTGGCTTAAATCGAGTATTAAAAAATAAAATACTAGAATATATCATAAATATTTATCGCATATTTTCATTTTTTTATAGTGCATAATTACATTAGCTTCTAAGTGCAGAGATGCTAACTGCTCCGGACACGCCAAAATAGTTTAAAAACGGTAAATAACTACTAAGTAAATTTTCCAAATAAAAAGTGGTGAATTATATAAGCCTACGAATTATTTAGAAATAGTGGTGGATAAAACTGTACTAAATTAAATTTATTGAATTAAGAATCACAATTATTTGTATTCGTTCATGCGTCAAATTGACGCGTGCTCGTAGAGATAGGTATATAAGAAACGTCCGTAAACCTAGTCAGTCGCTAGAAATCTACTTTTTCCCTTGATCTTACTAATAATGTGCTTGTTTTTAGTAATTGTTGTGTATTTGAGCCAACCGGAACTCCCCCGTTTATCATTCGCCCCTATTACTTTTAAGCGAATCTAAATAAAAGTAGCATTTTGTCCTTGAATTTTCAATCATTAATCAGCTTTCGCATGGGTATTAATCTTGATCCAGCAAAATTTGTATTTTTTCATGAAAATTAACTAAATTTTTATTTCTTAATTTAGTGGATATTTTACAAACACAACTGTAATAATAAGTCTATATTTTTGAATAATAATGTGCAAAATGTAAATTAATGTTAATGTGTATTAATGATTGCAAAATGAGAAGAAAAAAATATTGCGTAAATCAAAAAAAAAGGCACTTGACTTTATTAACAGACTTTAATAAGCACTTGATATTATTAATGGGTATGCAATGCTTTATATGTAATTTTAAGCAAGTAATTCAGTTTATAATTTAAACAATGGTATTATAAAGAAAATTTCTTTTGCAGGACTCGATCTTTTAAATACAAGCATTTTCAAAATGTACTAGAGGTATGATTTTTTTTTTGTGGAATATTATTTGCTATAAAATCGAAAAATAATAAAATTTTATAAGTATTTTAAAATCTACATTTTCGTTTTTAAACTCATAGAAGCTTTATTATTTTCCTTTTATTTAAGTATATTTGAAAAACGAGTTTTTATTTTGTAGTATTTTACTTTTTTTTTCAAGTATAATGTCCTACTTAGTATAAGTACTGTGATGCCACAATAAGTATTACATATTCCCTAGCTTTTAATCTTTCTTTAATTTCTTAAACTTAATTTTTTTAATCATTCTTAATTGAGTTTCTATTACAATATACCCTTTTTTTTTAATCCTAATTACATTTTATAAATAGCGAATATAAAATATTTTATTCTTTCCTTATCGATCAATATGACGGCTAACTTTTTATTTCAATACTAATGTAAGACTCATTAATTCACCGTCGCGACTAAATCGAGGACAATAATCTATTAATAACTCGTTATTCTTTATTTCGTACCAAAAGAATTCCCTCAATTATATGATTATACTAATTCTCACACTGTTTTTTCGCGTTTCGCTTTCGCCAAACTATTTTCAAATTTAATATTGATCATGGGTGATTGGTTTAATTTTTGGCTATGCTATCTTTCCATAAATCTCCAACCATGGATCTCTTCCCATGCTCCTAAGTCTCAGTTAGGAACAATTCATTTACTTTTTATTTCAAATTATTGGCGATTGGAACGGAGGCTCCGGCCTCCCGGTCCCACCCGATTTCTTAACAGAAATTTTCGATGTTAAGAGAATGATTTTTTTTTACCCCTTTTCGCTCCCGGGAAAATGACGGGGTGAGGTTTCACCCTCTATTTTTTGCTCCCGTGAAATTTCCGGGCTAAAGTGTTTAGTAGTAACGCGCCAATGAGAATAAAGCTAATTAATTTCTTTTGCCCGGAAAACATTATATTTCTCACTTTTCACACCAGATGGCAGTACCAGGATATTTTTTGAGGTAATTGTAGATAATTAGTTTATTTGAAACTAGACGTCAACACTAATCAAATACTTGTATTAGACAAAATCGGCACTTTTATGACCATTTACTTGAAAATTAACCGATCGTTAAGGGGTTAAGGGACTTATTTGCTTTATTTTTATAATTTTGGAATATGGCCATCTTCAATTAAGTTTTTACATAATAGATCAATTTTTCCTAAACGATTTTACTCATTTTTCTGGGATAAATATCCCTACATCATATCCAAATTAAGATGTATCTGAAACCGTAAAAATACTTTACTTCAACAAAAAAACTACCTCCCTCTAAATACTATGGACTAAGAATTTGGACTAAAACTGCTACCGAAAGTATTTAGAACAAGACATTTCTTTAATCCATCTCGTCATTCGTATATGTCTACTGTAACATGATTGAGGATTGAAATGCCTTAAGGTCTGGTTTCTTAGGACAAGCGCCTTATCTGGGCGTCGGCGTGACGTCAACGTCCCGCTGACGCCAACAAAATACTGGTTTGTTAGCTCAAGGCCTGGTTTCTTAGAACTAATATTGAGTAATAGCGTCAGCGGAAAGTTGATGTAGAGCGGACGCCAAAAAAATACTTTTTTGTTAGCTCAGCGTGAGCAGTCGGTCCAACGCAGACATTATCTCTCATTGCGCATGCGTTAATAACGTAAACAAATATTTATTTTGAATTTGTATTGATTTTGTTATTGTCGACCAGTGTTTTAGAGAACAAATAATGACTTTGTCCAAGAAAAAACACATTATAGCTGAGCTAAATGAAGAGTGCTATGTTTAATGAAGAAGCTATGTTTAATGTCAAAATCAAAATCTTGGCTGATTTCAATGTGCTGTTGGATGTTGTCCGCCATTGCTTCTGTGGTTAACGTCACGTTGTAATCCAACTGCAGTTGAGTTGGACGGCAATTGTAGTTCAAGATGAGCGTTCGATGACGTATACTATCAAACTCACAAATTGACCAATCAGAGGTTAGCGCTGATTTCCAGCTGACGGCGTCCTGTCCTAAGAAACCAGTCCTTTACGTGTATTGGTTGAGTCGCGGTGGCTCAGAACCAAGTAAACGTCTCCTAATGAATCAAAGCGATGACTGGTTAATACGAATTTTGATTCTTGCTCACAACGATTGCAATACTGACTTAAAATATGATTATTGGTAGATGGATCATAAGTTAGAATATCTTTGTCTACCGGCTACCAAATTTCATGGTTTTCCCCTCCATATAAAACAAATGTTGCTTACTTCTGCCAAAAAGTGCTCCACTGAGATTAGTTTGCTCCAATGCTTGATCCAGAAATTTCCTTCCTTCTGGGTTGGACTCAAAATCACTGATAGTTCTAAACCCAAAAATGGGTTGACTGTCCAACACCGCTTATGAAATGTAACCAATGTATTGATTATATTTTATAAGCTGCGGATTAATACTTTCTTTAAACATTTTCATAGAACTTAAAATTCGGATATCAAGAAAGAAAATTACTTTATCCTGATCTTTATAATACGTAAGTTGTTTTGAATTCATTTCACTTTGTTGTGTAATTTTTCTTAAGAGTAAATAAATGATTATTTAAAGCTTTTTCCACATTCAATGATTGTTATTCATTAATATTTAACCCAGGGAAAAAAAACGCCATCGTTAGTTTGAAAACAGAGAAGAGTTCGTAGTTGGTTATCAGAAATAGTTTAGTGTTTCAACTTCCAACTAAACCTGTTTTGATGCTTTTTGCGCATTCCTTCTTGCACTGTGATTTGCATTCTTTCGAGAAAGCTTTCTTTCATTTTTTGAAGGGGGCTTAAATATTAATTTGCGTCACTCAATGAGAATAATAACTTTGTTTTTATATAAAGTGAAGAGTGATTTTACTCAATGTCCTGTATAATATGTATGGTTCAATATTTTTCTTTTTTATGCTAAGCTTTTCATTACGAACACCATATTTAGCCAGTATCCATGTGATGTCCTGCGAGTACGAGAACCGTATTTAAGCGGCATTCACTCAATGACCTATGTGTGCGAGCTACGTATTTAGGCAGTATCCATGCGATGTCTTACTCGTGCGAGTTACGTATTTAAGCAGCATCCACTCGACGACCTATCTGTACAAGAACTGTATTTAGCCAGTATCCATGCGATGTCTTACTTGTACGGGTGACGTATTTAAGCAGCATCCACTCGATGACCTATGTGTACGAGCACTGTATTTAGCCAGTATCTATGTCTTACTTGTACGAGTGACGTATTTAAGCAGCATACACTCAATGACCTATCTATACAAGCACTGTATTTAGCCAGTATCCATGCGATGTCTTAGTTGTACGAGTGACGTATTTAAGCAGCATCCACTCGATGACCTATGTGTACGAGCACTGTATTTAGCCAGTTTCCATGCGATGTCTTACTTGTACGAGTGACGTATTTAAGCAGCATCCACTCGATGACCTATGTGTACGAGCACCGTATTTAGCCAGTATCCATGCGATGTCTTACTTGTACGAGTGACGTATTTAAGCAGCATCCCCTCGATGACCTACGTGTACGAGCAACGTATTTAGGCAGCATCCACTCGATGATATGCGTGTGTAAGAGCGCCTTCCTTAACCGGTGTCAACGAGATGTAGTTTGATAACAGTCCCAGTTTGCGCGCTTCTATACCAATACCTATATTATATAAATACAACGTAAGGGTATAGTAACCAGACCCAAAGAGTTCATTCGACAGATGACATGTGAGTCGACATCGACGGCTTGCAAAACAGACTTGTTGAGTTGGATATCAGTTCAGGAACGACCAGTGATAAAAGTGCCTGATTGGAAAGCCAGTGGCTGCAGTTCGAATCCCGCTCAGGGCATGAATGTTTGTCTCAGTGTGTTGTCCTCTGATGTGTGAATTTGGTCCATCATGTGAAGGGGTATGTGTGGCGGTGATAATGTTGCTCGCCTTCGTGACTTTGGCCACAAGTTGTTCACCAGGCAGCGTAAGATGAGCAACACTACCCGCACCTTCCATGGAAACACGATACGTTCAGTGCCTGCCGTTAGAAAAAATCAGGACTAGTAGCTTGTTCTTTTTTGTAATCTGGTTATAGCTCGTTGGTATGAGGTACAGGCTTTGCTTAGTGCACCATACTCAGGGATGTTTCCCAGACCGTCGCCAATAGCCCATACGTAAATAAAGTACTCCCCTATACTACCTGTCCTTCTTACTGTGAGAGCAACGTTGGCCCACCTACTATGGTGCCCCTGAGAGATTGACGACAGACAACACCTGGGAAAACATTGGGACTGCTTTTAAAAGAAATTTTATAAATAATTAGAATGATAACTTGTTTCATTGTAGCATTTAATTTTCCAAATATGTTTAGTAAAACAATATTCATTATGATTTTGATTTACAGCTCTCAATTTCTGTATCTCGGAGTGTCATTCAGAAATGCTAAGATCAGAATAATCCACTTTGTTCCAAAACTGCCGGTAAGTCAAATTTGTTTTAAATACAACAATTTCTAAAAAACGGAACTTATTTACCCGTTGGAATTACCTCAGATAATCCTAGTTTCTCACACAATAAAATGCAGTTGCAAAACAAAGAAAGAGTTCTGAAAAGCAGAGTTTAAACCAGGGGTTTCCAGCTTACATGAAGCTAGGGGCCGCAATTGAAAACACCAGTCAAATAGCGGGCCGCAACTTAATCAAAATTTTATATTCGACTTTTATGTTTGAAGGAACATTAAATATTACTGTCAGATATTTATATCAAGTAGTACAAAACAGAAGTATTGAATTACAAATATTTTCTGTTATAAATATTTTCTTGGATTCAAAACCTGAGAAATAAATTTTTTTGCATTGTTGGTATGTTAAATTTCACAGAAACGAAGAAATTAGGTTTTTTTAAACGAAAGAAAAATATCTTAAGCCTATATCGATTTTTTAACGAAAATTGTCCGCAAAAAAATGGCACTTAATATATTTTAGTTCGCGGAACAGAAAAAAAAGGCTTCGTTGGCCGCCAGTTGGTAACCATTCATCTCCGAGCTTTAATTTGAAAAAGAAAATGCGATCTTTACTTAGAAAATATAACTGAAAAGAGAGAAAACTCATAAATAAAATTGAGTTTTTTTATCATTTTTTTAAAACAACCAATTATTTAAACTTACGAAACCTTGCTCAGTTATTTTTTTCTCATAAGATAAAATATGATAAATTTTAATTTCTAGGTTATGTTCGATATTTTTATCGCGCATTTCGTAACATTTTGTACATGAAACTAATTCTAATATACTCAGGTAAAATAAAATATTCTTATGCCATAAAACTGTCCAGAATGCTTCTCAACTTGAGTTTCTGAACTTTCTAATAATCTTTATTGCAGTTTATTTATTGCTTTGTTAAGACATGGTAACAGAATTTTTTTTAAAAATATTTTTAAGTGAAAAAATTTTAACGAATGTTGTTTATATATTTGGATACTGGGATTGAATTTCTGAACTTTCTAATAACCTTTATTGCAGTCTATTTATTGCTTTGCAAAGACATGCCAACATAAATTTTTTTTTAAATAATATTTTTAAGTGAAAAAATTGTAACGAATGTTGCTTATTTATTTGGATACTGGGACTCAAGAGGCTAATATTCAATTACAGTCGCTTCCGAAAATTAAGGATAATTCATAACCACACGTAAATAGAACTCTAAAAGGAAACCTCCAGAATCATCATACACATCGTCAAAAATAATATGCAATTTACAGTAAGTCACCAGTACGCCAGAATGACGAGAGAAGGTTATGTAAGAAATGGTGATGAAGTACACTTTTCACAGACGTTCTGTAAGCCCTCAGTGCCATAACCGAACAGTTATGACACAGAAGACGCATGGGAAGTTTTTTTTAACATGTTCGAATTATAGGCTTAATGGACGTACTTAGATGGAAATATCCAAAGAACTTGGAATAGCCCGAATTGTCATATTTAGGATTTGTCAACGATTCCAAGATAATGGAAATGTCATAACACTTTACAGTGTACAGGTTACCCGATTTAAGACGTCGATAAAGATCGGTATTTGACAATAGCTGCCGAAAAAAGCATACTGAGCACAGAATACAGCCTGTTTCGTCAGCATCCACAGGTTCCAAGGGGAGGGAGCATGCAGATGCTTATAACCGTCGTCGAACAGTTGACCCAATTTCTGGGTTTAAGCCCAGCCTTGCCTTGTGCTGGGTTAAGCGTAGTCTTGTAGTTTGGAACCCAATCAAGAAGATCATTTCTGGGATTCGAACCCAGTTCACTTCACTGGAAAACGAATGCTCTATCCCCTGAGCCACCATGGCTCGCTTGCTGATGTTTGGAAAAATATTGGTCTATATGCTCGGTCATATATCCTGTGAGATGTGTTCCACTCACGGCCGCTGCAGGCATATCGATGGAGCCACTGTCACCATCAATATGCCTGGAATAGAAAATATGAAATTGTAACATCGTCACAGTGGGTTTGTGTGCTATTTTCCTACGAGTACAGGTTTAGCTACCGTCTGATTCGCATTGAAATTTCCTGTGGAAAAAGCCAGATACCAGTTACCATCAATATAATTTCATTGAATGACACCGTCATGCTGGTGCAGGATTACTAATTTGGGGTCGAATTACACTGGTCTCCAGAACAGGTCTCATGTTCTGCAACAATATGTACGTCTGTTTAGGGGTGCAATAGGCGCCGAATTCGTGTTTATGGCTGTCAACGCCTGTTCTCACCCTGCAAACATCCAAAACGAATCCTTTCAAGCTGAGGGCATCATCCGCATGAAATGGCCAGCATTTAAACCTGACTTGAATTCGATGAAGCATGAGTGGGACATGACAGGTTTGACCGACGAGTTGAAGATCGTTGATGGAACTTGTACCGGAACTTTGGAGAGCTTTGTTTGCTGAGTGTGGTCATCTTCCCCAAGAACAGCTCAATATTCTGATACCCAGCATGCCCAGGAGTTGTAAAGACTGTATTGCATTACATTGCATGGGAGGTACAAAATGCATTCCACCATTATACCAACCATGTAATATTTAGTTTTTGTAAAGGAGGTATTTTTTAGAATTTGCTCCAGGAAGCAAAAATCGTAGTTTTTATGAATGGTATCTTACCATCTTTTTTGTTTTTTATCTTTTGGCTAATAAATGGGCTTAATGAATGAGCTATATTTGTTTTGTTTCTGTAACTTTATCTGCCGGAGTTGCTATTATCTTTAATGAGTGTATTATCATAAGTTTAACAGCATTAAGAGTAGTCTCCCTTTTTAGCAGTATAAAGGACTAAAATACAAGCCTGTTTTAAAATTTCTAATTCATTCCTATTAAAATTGAATGAATTATCGTGTTTGCTTACCTGAAAAAAACTATTTTGAAACAAATGCAATTTAAAACATTTAAAGAACCAAAACTTTTTCCTCTCACGTCAATGGCGCTACGTCTGAAAACGCTATATCTTTCTTATTTATATGAGGATCTACTTGAACTCCTGAGGCAACGCTCTTTTATTTGCCTACTATCAAATTCCTTTTAATAAGAAAAAAAAAACAAGCAAAAAGTAGTATTATAAAATTTATTGCGAAGCGGGGGTGCCATCCCCTCCGCAGAGGATCAAAATTGTGATGGCATGTCTTCGGATCATCCTCCGGGATGTCTCCCTGATCGTCGCCAATACCCCGTTGTGCAGCTCTAGTGCGACGTAAATTAACAACAACAACAACATAAAATTTATTGAATAGTTTGGAGATGTACGTTTATAATGTATACAGATTATTTCATTTTGGCGCCTGAGGAAAATATTTTATCAAAACTTTCATAATGCAAATTTAAAATACAGAAAAAAATACAATATCTGAACCACATTTAATTAATATCCATTCAATTCCGAAGAATTGGTGGACTGATCGTAAAGACACGGTTCCCAGTAGAACACCGAAGTCATGAAGCACTACCTGCTGTCAGTAAGTGGGTGGGTGACCGCTTTGATCAGCCTGCGAAGGGACCGGAGGGTGCGCATTATCGGTACTCGTTAAACTGTTCTACCGTAAAGTGATCGACTTCGCCAGCAGGTCGTCGGGCTACCAAAGCGGAGAAGTCCTCTCCTCTGCAGAGGATCAAAATTGCGATGGCATGTCTTAGGATCATCCTCAGGGATGCACCCCAGACCGACGGCAATAGCCAATTGAGCAACTCTAGTGTGACGTAAATAAAGTACCTACCCACCATAGAATTCAATTGGTATCATTTCAATGACATAGAATTCAATTAGTACCCATTGTGATCCTTAAATTTTGTTCTATTATATGTATTTTGTTCTTTTACATATTTGTTCTACTACATGAACTTTCTCGTTCTTGTTTAATGAATAAAATACATTGTAAGATTAATTTTGTATTGATATTTCTAGCCAATGGAGTTGTTCAGCAACATCGGTGGATTCTTGGGCATTTGGATTGGATCCTCTATCATATCAGTCTCTGATTTATTATACAAACTATCTGAATTCATCTACATTTACATCATGAAATTTGTTAAAAAGACATCTACACTGTAAAAGAATTAGGATCAAATTACGGCAGAAAGTCCTGGCAACCTGAAATCCATTTTTTTCCCATAAAGTTTCGTACCGAAAAAATTTTACACTGTAATTTTTACATTAATATTTATTTATTTGCAGTGATAATTCAATGTCACTGTAAAAAAATCTAGCACCCTGAGATACGTAAAATCCATTTTTTTTCCTTAAAATTTTACACCGTAAAGTTTTACACCGTAATTTTTACATTAATATTTGTTTATTTGCAGTGATAATGTGATTTCACAGTAAGTATTACTATGTAAAATCACATACTCTATCATATCAATCTCTGATTTATTAAGCAAACTATCTGAATGCATTTACATTTGCATCACGAATTTTGTTAAAAAGAAATCTACACTGCAAAAGACGCTGTATTTGACAACCTGAGATCCGAAATATCCATTTTTTCACCTTTAATGTCTTATACCGTAAAATTTTACTCTGAGATCCGTAAAATCCTTTTTTTTCTTTAAAATTTTATACCGTAAAATTTCACACCGTAATTTTTACATTAATATTTATTGAATTGCAGTGGTTATGTGATTTTACAGAAAATATTACAATAAGTATTACCGTATTTTACGGTAATTACATCCGGGATTTTTCAGAAAGAGCCGTTATAATTGAATAATAAGATAAAAAGTGAGAAATAATCCATACATATTTTACCAAATGCACTATTCTTTCCTATTTTGAATTATAAAATTGTTGGATATTGCTTTAATCTAAATGTAAGCAAACTTGAAAGTAGAGCAAGAACTGAAATGCCACTACAGCATGCGAAATGTAAACATTAAAGAGAATTCATATTTTTTTATTCGATGCATTATTTATTCCTCATTTAATTTATTATTACAAACTATCAAACGGTATGGATAATAATTGTATTCATTATCAAGTATTGAACATTTGTCTGATTCTGAATTTTAAAAGCTTATATTTTACAATAAAATGGCATTTGCATATTTTGAGAAAAAAAAGGGAAGCATTTCTAGTCAGAAATATAAAACCTATTATGGACTTAAAGTTAAGTCATATTTTTAATGGATATACTATATTAATGGATACTAAATTATGTACACAAAATTTGAAATAATAAGCACCTTAAATAGACTTTCTATGAAAGCTTACAGTTCAATTTGTCATAAAGAATTCTTTATAATCTTCTTGCATTTCCATGAAACTTATTTTATCTTTTAAGTTTATTCAACTAGTTACAATAGAAAAGCCTTTAAGCTATTGATGATATTTTATGGAGAAAAAAAAAGTTTTTAAGATTCTAAAACCAATTAAATAAATATGTAAACACACGATACAATACAATACGATACTGAATAGGTTTCACGTTACTGGAACGCTTATTGTACATTAATAATAACATTTTTGCATCCAAACTTGATTCTATCGTGAAACTAAAACACACCGAAAATTATTGCAATGTCTTTTAACTTTATGAAACGAAAGCACATTATATTCGTCTACAGTATAATTTATTCTTATAACGTTATGTCGTGATTATGTGTTCAAAAGAAAAGTTTTTATTTTTAATTTCTGCGGCGTAGCTACCACTATAAATATTAAATACCAATTCACTAGTATATAAGACGTTTAAACTTGATTCTATCGAGAGGTACCATTAGATAGATGAAAGTTAACATAGTCGATATTTAAATCCCCTTATAGGTGACCTTCCTATCTGGAGTCAGAAGTGTCACGTCCGGGTCACCAGATCGTCGGGCTCTTATGTGGAGGCGTATGCAGAGTAGTATATATGCTACCGGCAAAGTTTGAAATCCGGCATTATATATGATGCCTGAAACTAGCCGGCAACGTATGAAATGATTTATATTTCACACATTGCCTAGGCATTCTATATAATGCCGGATGCTATTTAGGCGAAGTTTGAAATAAACGTCCTGATGAGGTTATTATGTGAATGATGTGCATGTTACTGAGAATGACCGAAATCGGTGAATGTTGACAATCACATGGTTGCTTTGGTGAATGTCCGAAATATTTATTACATCCGATTTGATATTAATTTATTCGTGGATATAATTACATTTATTCGATATTTTAATACTTACTGACGATATATTAGAAGAAACATCAGTGTTTGGAGTATCGGGTAAATATATACCGGGCAATGATACTTGACCTTAAAAAAATATCAGTATAGGGTATACGGGGCAAATGTATACCAGGCAGTGGCACTGAACCTTAAAAAAACATCAGTGTTGGGTATACCGGGCAAATGTATACCGGGCAGTGGCACTGTACCTTAAAAAAAATCCGTGTAGGATATACCGGGCAATGGCACTTACTAGACCTAGTATATATTTCGGACATTTACCAAAGATCTAGTCATACTAGTGCCATTGCCTTAATTGAAGTGCCATTGCCCGGTTAAGTGCCCAGTTAAGTGCCCAGTTAAGTGCCATTGTCCGGTATACATTTGCCTGATACTGATGTTTGCCCGTTACTTACTGATGTTTGGGCGTTACATTTGCCCGATACCCGCTACTACACTGATGTTTTTTTAAGGTCAAGTGCGATTGCTCGGTTATATAGTCCACAATAATTCTTGTTACTTTAAACTACTTGTTACAAAAATTATTTAACTAAAATCTCGTAAAACTTTTTATTGCATCTATTCACAAAATTTAGTTTTCGAGTCAAATATGATAATACCCAATTAGANCTGATGAGGTTATTATGTAAATGATGTGCATGTTACTGTGAATGACCAAAATCGGTGAATGTTGACAATCACATGGTTGCTTTGGTGAATGTCCGAAATATTTATTACATTCGATTTGATATTAATTTATTCGTGGATGTAATTACATTCATTCGATATTTTAATACTTACTGACGATAGATTAGAAGAAACATCAGTGTTTGGAGTATCGGGTAAATATATACCGGGCAATGATACTTGACCTTAAAAAAATATAAGTATAGGGTATACCAGGCAGTGGCACTGAACCTTAAAAAACAGTGTAGGGTATACCGGGCAAATGTATACCGGGCAGTGGCACTAAACCGTAAAAAAACACTAGTGTAGGATATACCGGGCAATGACACGTAACTGGACCTAGTATGTATTTCGGACATTTACCAAAGGTCTAGTCATACTAGTTCTAGTTAAGTGCCATTGCCCGGTATACATTTGCCCGGTATACCCTACACTGATGTTTTTTAAGGTCAAGTGCCATTGCTCGGTTATATAGTCCGCAATAATTCTTGTTACTTTAAACTACTTGTTACAAAAATTATTTAACTAAAATCTCGTAAAACTTTTTATTGCATCTATTCACAAAATTTAGTTTTCGAGTCAAATATGATAATACCCAATTAGATAGCAAAGGCCTTGTCCTTTACATAATGTTCATAAAAGATTTGGACAGTGTTCAAGAAGGCTTAGTATAGTTCGTTCACCAGGTATAGTACAGTATAGTATGTTCAAGTATAGTTCGTTCACCAGGAGTTGTCACTTGTCTCCACCTCCTCGGACGACAAGTTCATTTCAGCGCGGGAGTAAGAGGAGAAACGTCTCCGCGCTGGAAATTGAGACAACCCTTAATGCGCGCCAAACACAAATAGTGACTTCTTTTTCAGTCACTTACTTCGCTTTATCATCTGCTATTAAACCTTTCGTTACTCTAATTAAATGCAGCAACATGCCTCAAAAAGGACAAACTATTAACTCAAAAGAGAGAAATATCGTCAAATTATGAGATATTTAATGTTAAAAAAATGCACATAAAGAGAGCGAAATAAATATTTTTGTCATACGATCACCAAATAGCAACCTAGTTGAGGTTTGTTCACATTATTCTCCTAAAAATAGCGAAATAGTATCGCCGGAAACCACGTGATGAAGGCGGAGCCAAGTGCCAACTCCTGGTGAACGAACTATAATTCAACATCCAAACACTTCTAGCTCTTTCCATTTCACAAAAATCTGTTGAAGAAATTACTTGGAGGAATAACTTAAGCCAAAATATTTCAGAGAAGCCCCGTGGACAGGCTGTTGCGGAATTCAGATTCGCGGTAAGCCATGTCTGCCTGGCGAACCACCTTCACCGAAATGGCATTTTCACGAGTTTTAAAAGCATGCTTTGTGGAATGGACGATGTCATGGACAGAAACATGGACATGGCGGGGTGTTCCGGGTGAAGCGATATTGGAGAACCGCTCGATATCTGCTGATCTGACATGGGCTCTTTTTCTCTTTATGTGTTCTCTTTTATTCCTGTTCTTTTCTAATCTCATAAGAATGAATCATTTTACTTTGCCACTGAAAAATTTAAGAAAGAAAGATTCGGACAGTTCAGAATGGTAATTTAATTTCCTTTTTATAACTTTTTGTATCGTATTTAAGTCTTTAATAATACGTAATCATATTTAAGTCTTTAATAATTTAATAACTGTCTCCAACCGTGAAGAAGAAAATTAGCTCTTTATGTCCTGTCAAATAATTAGTAAATTTATCCTTTGCTTCGTTTCATTTGTTATGAAACACCATATTTACAAAAAGATAATAAGATTTCCAAACAAAAAGATTACAAAAAGATTTCCAAAATGAAAGCAAAATCACCGGATTAAATAATTTTAATTTGGAGTAACACGTTTAATTTGGAGTAAAAATCAAAATGTATAAATAACATAAAATATGAAGCTCTAGTTTACATCTAATAGATTATCAGATAACTATTTTATTAAAATAGTTGACGAGAATATGAAACTATTTCGTTCAGTAAAGATCATACCATGTGATTTACACCTACTTGTTGAATAAGAAAGATACAAATTGTGATTGCTTCTAGAGTTTTTTATGCAATAAAGAATACTTCAATTTTGCAAACTGTGTGCAAAATACACTATTTTATTAAAAATGTTAGCGAAAATATGAAACTATTTCGTTCAGTAAAGATCATATTGTGTGATTTACAATTCTTGTTGAATAAGAAAGATACAAATTGTGATTGCTTCTAGAGTTTTTTATGCAATAAAGAATACTTCAATATCGCAAACTATGCATAAAATACACTATTTCATTAAAAATGTTAGCGAGAATATGAAACTATTTCGTTCAGTAAAGATCATACCATGTGATTTACAATACTTGTTGAATAAGAAAGATACAAATTGTGATTGCATCTAGAGATTTTTTATGCAATAAAGAATACTTCAATATCGCGAGCTATGCATTAAATACACTGGTGTAAGAAATTAAGAGACAGACTTGGTCGATTATCGATTAAGAGACAGAATTGCAGACGATTATCTCTAGAACTAATGGAACGATTTCAAGGAAATTTGATCTGTACATACATCGATACAATACAGAACAAATAACCATTCAACAATTGTAATACACAAGCATGATTGTGCATAACACTAGTTAAACCCAAGTGCCAAGTTTACGAAAAGGGAAGCAGGAAATATAGAAATTTCTTTGCATATCGAACATATGACGATTCCACTCTTTCTACTTCCTTTCTTTTTAATGGCCACAGTACTCTTTCATCACATTTCATAATAGCTTCTCTCGCTCCTTCCCACGGATGTGGTCCTTGTAGTCTGTACTGATAGGGAACACTAGGACCAAATATTAATTTGAACCAGAGCTGCGGATCTGTAAACAACATTCTGTAAAAATTAGGCTTAGCGCCTATTTGCTCAGCAATCTCGTATTGAAACTGCGTGTAGTCGACGCGAACACCTTGTTTACGGCAGGGTGCATATCTTTTCTCGTTGATTTCGAGCCTTTTCTTGATGTCATCCATCATTGTCTCTCTCGAAGGTAGTCTTAGATTCCCTGCAAACACTTGAGCCACCCACCGACACTGCAGTTCTCCCATTGGAAAAGATGCACCAAACGGTAAAAAGAACCCCACAAAGGCCAATGTGGAGTGCTTTAATTTAGGAGACCATGTGCATTTGTACAAAGTAAGCTGGTTTTCCATATCTGCACGGATGTCGTCTTCGAGGAAAGGAAATTTCCACGTGTATCCGGTAGCCATTATAACTACATCGGCTTCGGTGACGGACGATTCGCCTTCAAAGAGGACCCCATTCTCGGTAAATTTCGATACGTCTCGTTTTTGAATGATAGAGCCGGAGAGTAATTTTGATGCAAGATGGTCGTTGAAGACTGGATCTTTAGAAAGTACATGAAACTTTGGTTTAACTGCGTACAAGTTTGAATTAAACTTCGTGTCAATGAGGGTAGTTTCAACAAGCCAACTTAATAAATTTGTCGGAAGCAAGTCAATTAAAATGGTGAGATAGCGTCGAGCCAAAGCATAATCCATTGGTAAGCCATCAGGACCAACTCGACTCAAAACGTGTGCTCCAGTTCGTGTACTTAGATAAACCTAAAAAATAAAAAAACATGTTGGAGAATTAATTTTATTCTTTTGAGATTTACTTTCTGGAAATTTTTTTAATTTTTCCTGATTCGTAATAAAATTTCAGGTTGTGAGAGCGGTACATATTTTTAGTGAATGCATAATTATGTTATGGAGTACTCAGATTTGTGTATTTTTCGCGTACGAGTTTGTAAGTAGGCTCGACTTTTTCAAATATAATGAATGTAATTTTTACTTAATTATTACTTAATTAAATTAAAATTATAAACTTAATTATTACTTTAAAAAAGAAGATCGGAATAAATTTATATAATATAATCAGAAAAAGTTTAGTCGGAAGTAATATATCTTATTGACATTTTTACTGTATAAAATTTATATAGAACTTTAATATTAATTTTTTCCTCTTTAATTATGTAGGGGATTAAAATCTGATTTATACCATCTTTCTTTTAAGCAGAAGTTTCAAATTAAATTTAAACATGCATTTTTTGCATTCAACTTTTATAATTTACTTTTTACAAATTCCAATTTAGCCGTCAGTTTGTGTAAACCTAATTTTTACTATATTAGTTAAATTTACTCTATTAGTCGACTATTTGATCGCGTTAGGATCGCAGGAAAATTTTGATTTAGGAAGAGGGTACAGCAAATTGCGTAAGATTGCTGTTGGGCAGTGCGTGGTCATTTTTGTATAAAAAGAGTATGAGAAATATTACCGAATCAGTGTATTAAACTGCCTACTATTGCCCTACGTATTCTCATTGTTTCTTTCGTTTGAATTCTTATCATTAGTTTCGTTCGATTATAGAACCGAAACTTAAGTATATCTGATTTTGAGACTTTAATTCATATTGCATAGCTTTATTTTAAAATAAAGTACAAAATATGTCTATTCTAATATTTGATATTTCATTTAATTCAAATTTAAATTCGTCCGAAATGCTTAATTACCAGGCTTGCGAACTACTACGCTTTTTGAAAAAATATTTTATAGAGTGGTAGACATCTAAAAATTCCATAGCTTTCAGAATTTCTGTTAATTTGCAAACATTTTTAAATCCTTACCCAGGGCCCGACTTAGCCTAATTGGGTCCCGGGACAAAAACTTCTTTGCCCCCCCCCTCCCCTCTACTTCACTATTCTGTAATGAAGAATTGAACTTTATGGAGGTATATAACAAGGCAAATTTTTATCACCTCATTATACATATATAACAAGAAAATTGACTCTAGAACCTAAAATAAACGAATCAGACGAAATATGTGCAATTTATTGATTTTCTGACAATTCTATGCCCGTCATGCCGAATGCAGTTTTCTGATTGTTAACTTTGTCATCTAGCTGCGAAAAATTCATATCCTTGCTGAAACGGAATTCAGCTAAATTTTTGCAATTGCGATGGCTCACTTAAGCCAATCAAAAGCCTGTATTTTTGTAAACATATCGCATTCGGCGATATATAAAAATGCGGGCTTTTGATGGGTGTCCATTTGCGAGAAAATTTAGCTGATTTCCGTGCTTGAAAGCCATGGATTTACGAATTATAAATTTTTTGTGTTTTTGCAATAGATTAATAAAAAAGTTACATAAAACTGACGGATTTTACATTGTACTAATATTTTGTTTGAAAAAAGTTCATTAACCCTTTCGCGCCGACTGTCACAAATACGTGACAGCATGAAACTGTATCAATCAGGATAAAAAGATAAAACTGGTAATCAAAGTAATTCTTTAGCAGTTTATTTGTGGGCGGAGTTATAATTGTTTGATTTATTTAATTCACCATTACTTTGTTCAAAATAAAACTATTTAGTTATACTTTGAACTAACATTGATTATATATATGATTAAACTAACAATAATTAAAGAAAAAGCAAAGTAAGTCTGTCAAATTAGCAACGACTACATTTAAGTTACCGCTTTTTATTTAATT